GCAAATACTATTAGGCCAACAAAAAAAGTCTCCTTATGGTTCAAAAAGATAGACATTATCATGCCGCCATAAGTGATACCCGGTCACGAGACGTCTCGCGTGACGTGCTAATTAAATGCCCCCACATCTGAAATTCATGAAAAATCCGTGTCTCACACCTCTCCAATGTGCGTGAGACGAAGCTTAAATTATTACATCATCTTTCATTTTCTTTTCAATTTTTATAATTTATCTAATGACCTTTAGGATGCACCCCTGCATTAACTGATTCTGGGCCAGCATGAAATCAAGACTACTCACATTTTTATTTTTTACACTATCCTAGCCACATTTCGCGGCAAACAAATTTTGCTTAGCGCAAAAAAAAGTCTGGCTTATAAAAGCAGTTTACCAGCAAAAACCTCCCACGTGATTTTCATGCTATAGCAATCAACAGCTCAACACTAATCAAAAGCAATATGTATACATATCACATGGAGTTTGGGCTGGTAAATTGCTTTTAGAAGCAGACTTGTTTTGTGCTAAGCAAAGTTTTTTTGCTTAGCAGCGCCGTGAAGTTGGCCCAGGCATGCCCAAGGTCGTCTCTAGATCCTAGTTTGGACCATGGTACATCCACTTGCCTGGCCCTAGTGGGTGGCTTACAAATTGGCGGGGAAACCTACAGGACTTGTTCACATAATTATTTAGTTCCATAGGCTTGTGTACAAGTCTGAGTTTCGTGTCAAGTGGTTCTTTTTTTATACGGTTGGCCCTATAAAGCAAAACTGCCAAGAAGAATTGAAGTTATAACGTTTAAATCGAAAATCTAAATATTCAAGTATAGCCACACTGGAGAGTGCCCCCAAACTTTTTTTTCTTCTTACAATTCATTCAAGAAACTTTCATTTCTTGAGCCTTATAAGCACTAAATGTAACCGATGGTCTCACCCTCTCACGCCGTAGGAGTAGTAGACACCCTGCCCAATACCTATCCGACCTATATGCAGATGACATTAGTCTGCTTGCTGACACCCTCCTTGATGCCGAATCTCTCCTCCATAAAGTAGAAGCTTGCTGCAAGTCCGTTGGTCTCTCTCTTAACGCAAAGAAGACTAAGAACATGGTCATCAACCCATCTACCTCTGATGACGTCACTGCACTAGATGGCAGTAAGCTCGATAAAGTTGATGACTTCAAGTATCTGGGCTCCTACACCAACACAGCTCATGACATCGAGTGTAGAAAAGCTCAGGCTTGGTCTGCTCTGTTCTCACTGATCAAAGTATGGAGATCCTCGATCTCCAAGACCACCAAACTTAAGATCTTCAAGACCTCAGTAGAATCCATCCTCCTCTACGGTTGCGAGTCCTGGACCCTGACCAAACAGATCTCTGCATCCATTGATGGCACCTATACACGGATGTTGCGGGCTGTACAGAACGTTTCTTGGCAACAACATCTCCCTAACTCTGTTCTGTATGGTGCCCTTCCCCCTATCTCCACCACCATCAGACAGCGTCCCCTTCGGCTAGCCGGTCACGTTTATCGACATAATGAGCCAGCTAGTCAAGTTCTCCTCTGGAATCCTGAAGCCCCTCGACGAAAAGGTCGTCCCAACATGACCCTGAAAACATCCATCGAGCTAGAAACTGGTCTGAGTGGTCCATCTCTTTCCAACACTATGCTCGACAGGGACAGTTGGGCCCAACTCATCAAGTCATCATGAAAATGAATGAATGAAGAAGAAGAAGAAGAGCCTTATAAAAGTAGGCATCTACAAACAATTAACAAAGACCGCTTAAGTTCGCTCCAGTTTAGGGTCAAGTGCACTTTTCCACTTACATCATTTTACTGACACCATAGGGCATATATACACCTGTTTGGGGCGAGTTAATCCCAAAAAAAAAAACCAAACGCAAAATGTCGGGACTATTGTTTCGTGACATTCTGCATGTAGCACTTTCAAAGTCTAGGAACTTTGAAAGCCCAATTCATAAGCTGTCTTTTATTACAAGAAACGTTCAAATCACTTGAGTACTTTTCAAGTTACGGAATTTTGAAAACAACCACCGTTTTAAAGTTCTGTCCAAGGCATGGATCACACAATAAAAGGTGTGCGTTCTTGCAAAACGAAAACAATTCACACTCACCCGTACCCTATATGCGATTTGTTAGTTATATCTTTTTGTGATCCGAGGACAGAACTGTAAAATGGTGGTTGTTTACAATTCCGTAACTTGAAAATTACACGAGTGATTTCAATGATTCTTGTACTAGACTACTAGTAAACTTGAAGATGAATTGGGCTTTCATATCCTAGATTATGAAAGAGCCACATGCAGAACTTCACAAAAACAATGGTCCCGACATTTGGGGTTCGTTGTGTTTTTTTTTACTCACCCTCTATTTCCACTTAAAATAGCAAGCGTATATATGGTATTACAAGTGCACAATATTCAATGTTTTGCAGTATATGAATCGATATCGCGCCAAATGTAGTCGCGTATTAGCCGTATTCACACTCAACAATATTACACACTGCATACAAGTTATATTACAAGTTCGCTTTTATTATTGAAAAAAAAACCCCTTTATTCAGCGATACAGATCTTGGAGCGCAGCTTTGATTTGGTATCAGGCAAAATGTTTTATATATGAAACAAAAAAGGGTCCAACTTGGAGTTTCACCCCGATGAATTTTTCAGGGGTGTGAGTGACCACTGATAAAAATAGCTGAAAACAGCTGGAAAAGGTGTAAAAACGCTGAATTTTGGAAATCTCCTACACTTTTGTACACAGCAAGTGAGGGGGAAAAGCTGAAATCCAAAACAAAAAAAGCTGAAATCAGCTAAAAAGCTGAGATTTCACACCCCTGTTTTTACAATCAAAATAACAAAAACCAACCTGAAAAGGCAAGCAAAAAATTGAGACGTAAATTCGCTTGCTTATAAAGCACTGGGAAAGAGCAATGGCAAGCTTCATCCTACATATTATACATTGTACTCTGCAATAGAAAATCCTATTGAAATTGAAGGATTCAGGACTGTTAGGGCTATTAAAATGGGGTACGTATTGTGGATCTTATCAGACACATTTCGCCCCCATACCAATTCTAATTTCCAGTATGCTTCGGCCAATTTTCCTTTTTGTAGGAATATGGTATGGCAGTACTCTAATGTGACGTCGTGTTTGGTCGCGCTGCGGTCGGCATGATTTTTTTTGTAACATCTTTTCATTCCAATGCTTTCAAATAAAAAAAGTACAAACATTCATTGGCGCAATGGTCATTGGTTCTTTGTATCAATTTAAAAATAACCTTTGGCTTTTAAAGTCGCCGCTAGAGGGTGATGTAATCTGCGGCAAAAACATTTTTTCGTGAATTTGTCCCAAAATTCAAATTATTCCAACCAAAATCAGAGCAATGGATGTAGTTATGGTATTAAATAATAGAAACGTTTTTGCATTTTTGCATGAACTGTCTATGTTTTATGTAAAAACATTTTTTTTAATTGTTTGCCATGGCAACCATTGACACCCTGCAGAACTCTGATCAAAGTCAAGAAAAGTCACCGAAATTCAAGCTAATTTGCCGAAGCTTTATCTGGAGCTATTATACAAAAAAGGTCATAGGTGTGCCAAAAACAACCCTCCCCCAGTACTGATCAACATCTGTTTCAGAAGACTTTTTACAGTCGTGCAAAACCTTAATTTTATTTTTAAAATTTTTTTAAAAGTACATGAGTAGTTTGACGTTTGGATTTTAAGCTGTTTCAAACTGGCATTCCAGGTTGAATTAAGCACTGGAAAGCAACCTAAACAATGGAAAATCAATACGTATAAATTAATTGATCGTCTGAAACAAAAGCAACATGTATATATTTGGGTCGACCTAATAAAGTCGCTATGCGTCTTGGTTCGGCGCGAAATGGGTGTTGAACACTTTATCAGACAGCTGCTAAAAATTGATCCAATATCTAAATCCATAAATACCATCAAAGCGTCATAATAAAAATTATGAAAATGCAGCAAAACTATATTAAATTTCTAAAATATGTTTCTGCGTACAAAAATATAGCATACTACGAAAAGTGTAAAGATATCAATGCTCTATATGTTACATATCTCTAATATAAAAATAATACATGGAATACTATGGTTCTTTATGGTTCATTATAAGGTATTATGAATAACACAATCAAAATATTGATTTTCAAAATCTGATGGAGTATAATTATAATACGGCAAATCATTCAATAAAGATCAATAAATACAGCTGTTTTATATTCCATGCTCTCCGATATGCATACATGTACAAGTAGCTTTTTTTTTTATAAATTTGCTTTTCCGTCTAAAAACCATGTATAGAAGGTAGAAATGGAACAATATACACTTTGCATAAGAATTTTTTTTCCAATTCTAAAACTAATTGAGTAAATTAAAATACTTCTATTGTATCTAACATTTCAACACTCTGAATATGAAATTTTCAGCAAGGACAGAAAAATCAGGCCTCCTACATACGCAACTTTTATAAGTTCTATATTTCAGATCGTTCTAGCTGATAAGCAATTTGAAGATTATGATTGAAATATCTACAGCATTTCCTCAAAAAACTATCCTTAAAACCAAGGCCAATGTGGTCCACGCACTTGCCAACTACACTGTTAAAAAATTTAATTCTAGATGATAGTACTCTGGAATGTAAAGCAATTTAGAGATGTACTGTCCACGCTCTTCAACATATTCATTTTTCACCCTGACAAATTAACCAAGAACTGACTTTTTTTTGTATTTCGTGTGGCTGCAACCCCCTGAAAAAAATGAGAGTGGCAAGTAGACTGTTTCCCGGTACCTACATTACATGTTTCTGTTCTGGAAGGACAGCAGGAAACTGTTAGTCTGAGTATCATCCATTATCCACGGAGCCAAGTCTCCTGTATAACGTGTGATATGTCAAAGCATGCAGATTTATGCGATCCAGCGCCTCAGCCAATCGGAGTCGAGTTTGCTAAATCGTGACGTAATTTCATTTCCAAATCAGGACTCAATGTTTGATTGGTCAATTTGAATGCAGTGTTTTGTAATACAACAACGGCCGGGCATAGATCTATCGAACCTAGACAAGCTTGGCGCGTATCACGTAACATAATACAGAGCGCGTGACCAGCACAGCCTTTGTTTGCTGTGTCTAGGTTTTCTTTTATCCATGTCTTTAATGCGTCAACGGGTGAATGACCGTAGACCCGATATACAGAAATCGCCCGCTGATTGGTCAAAATTTAGAGGTCAAGAGGCCGTTGTCTTGCATAATAAATCAGCGAATCTGCTCACATATCATAGACCATTGGCTCTTCGCCATGGTCTATTACATAGACTAGGAAACAGTCTACCCTTTTGAGAACTTCATTATAGTTGTCGGCTGGAAATTATTCAAAATTGGTAAAACAAGTCTTCCAAGACTTGACAAGAGATGATATTTTTCATTCAATAAATCTTTCATAAAGTGAATAAGTTTGGTATTGGTAGAAACGAAATAAGAAATTTTGATAGAAAATTTTTTTTTTTTAACCAGAGAATAACACAAACAGTACATCTTTAAGGAACAGCCTGCACGTAGTTTCCAGGAAACAAGCCTGTGACTCCATTCAAAACGCCCTCAAACCAACCATTGGGGTTCTTTTTCAGCACGTAGATGATGTCATCTTCCTGGAATGTCAGCTCATCTTCCAGATTTTTCTCGTAGCCGTAAAGGGCAATGACTATAAGAGATACATGGGAACGTTAAAAAGTGAGGTAATTAACAATGTAGGCATAGAAAAAGTGGGTTGAGCACTGCCCCTTCCCTGCATATACAGGGTGAGTAAAAAAAAAAGCAAAATCCAAACCGAAAGAAATATATTTCATATTGAAATATGTAGCACCAAAAAAAATTATAACTGGCAAGCCAATTTAATAAACTACTTTTAATAGCTGAAAAAAAATAATAAAATAATTTATTTTAGCTCTCAAGTTTTTATTTCACGAGTAGTTGAACACTAATATCTACCTGAAAGTATTTTCCAAATTTCAGCTTATGTTGTTGCAAACGCTTATGTTACACCTTGTACTATCACCAAGGTAAATTTCGACTAAGATTTTCTGCCGAGCAAAATAACATGTGGTCTGTACCATGTATACCGCAGCCAAATTTGGTCGCAACGGTGACTGGCACGTATCAGCGGGCCGACTACTGTTGTAAATTTCACAGGATGTTTGAGACACTTACATGTACACAGTCAAATAAGGTATTCACTTCCGGAATTTTTTGGATTTTTTGGGCGTTTTTACCTTTCAACAAAAAAGAAAGAAAAGAAACCAGAGTATAATTGGAATGGTTTTTCTAAGTTCACCTTTTTCTATGTAGTCTGCGGGGGCAGATTGGTCCACGTCACTAGTCTGAACAAACTCCGGAGGTAGGGGCATCTCATCATCACCAATGCCCATGTTGGCTGGGTAAGGGATGTCATCCATGGGCGGGGGAGGGGGAAACGATGAAGCAGCTGTTTGTACGAAAGAAAAAGGAACCAATTTTGTTTTCATAGTGGGCGTGGGGTACTGGAAGAAAATACCGCCAAATAGATATGAAAATTGCCGACTGTCGAAAATTTGAAAGGGGGGGGGGGGGGTTTGGACATCATATGACATAATGGGGTTGATACATGTAATACTTAGTTTTATACCTAAAAATCTGACTATACCGTAAGACCTCTTTTAAATATTTTTTTTCAACTTTGGGGTGGGGAAGGAAAGGGAGGGATTTGAAAACCTTAAAAGTTCTGTGCCCTTACTACAGTCATCAAAATTTGCTAATATGTTTACCTATCCTTTTATATGTAATAAAAATAATAACACATTCTTATATAGCGCATTTCAGGACCGTCGGAGCTCGCAATGCCCTTTTCAATTAATAAACAAATAATATATGACTACGGAAAACAATTTTCAAATAAATGTCTTTTAAGGCTGCTCTTAAACAATTCCAGGTCAGTTATTGATCGCAGTGACCGATCGTATTGATGGTAGGGCCCCCACATGCAAATGCTCTTTCACCATAGTTCTTCATTTTTCCGGGGTTCATGATGAGAAGATGCTGGGAAGACGATCTAAGGGGCCTTGATGGATTGTAAGGTACAAGTAGTTCTGAGATGTAGGCTGGACATAGACCATGGATAGTGTTGTAATATTAATGTGGAACTACATATTCATATTGTGCGCACAGCGCATGAACACAGTGTGTGTAATGTGGCTATACTCTTGTTGCATCATGGCGGAATAAACGCACTACGTCCAAGTGCCTGGGAACCTGAACAAACCTTGTCATGCTATCACTACATGGTGGCAGCGGTAGTGGACACTGAAATGCGGCACATACACCGCGACCAGGCATCGTGCTAGCTAAACGCCAAACGCCTGCGAAAGACCGCCTCGGACAGAGCACGGATCGATGTCCAGCAGCCGACATCGACAGCGATCGGACTGAGCCGACACTGCACGCGAAGAGCCCCGTTCACCAGCGGCCAACGTGACGCGTGATAGCCTATACGCGCCAGCCCACACCGTACTCGCAACGACCACAGACTGGCCGGAAGCGACCCAGTTTTCCCGTTCAGTTTATCAGGGGAAATTTGCCGCATGGCACATATCGTAAATGTACATGTGCGGAGTCAGCATATGCAATCGACAGTCACGGACTGAGGACAGGGCGATTGTAAGTGTTTGCCGAACCTTTTGATTGACAAAGTATCACTGAGTGTACATGCCGTACATAACTTTGCGTTTTGCATGTGAACGCCATTGACTTGTGTGCAGCTTGTTGATAAAAGCAGTTCCGGCGAGCCATACCCTGGAACTACCCCCGCGCACACGCTTATCGGGATTTGACCTTTGACCTCACCTGAGGCGAACCACGGCCGAACCAGTCATATTGTTCCGCCGATTAACGCTGCAGCTTGCAAACAGCTGGATCTACCGGAAAACAGCTGGACATACCGTAAAATAGCCGGATCTACTGGAAAACAGCCGGATCTACCGGGAAACAGCCGGATCCACCGGAAATCAGCAGGATCTACCGGAAAACAGCCGAATCCACCGGAAATCAGCAGGATCTACCGGAAAACAGCCGGATCTACCGGAAACGGCCGGATCTACCGCAGGACTTACTGGGATACAGCAGGACCTACCGGACAACAGCAAGATCTACCGGAAAACAGCCGGATCTACCGGAAACGGCCGGATCTACCGCAGGACTTACCGGAATACAGCAGGACCTACCGGACAACAGCCGGATCTACCGGAAAACAGCTGGATCTGCAGGAGTGCTGGAACCACACAACAGCAACCTGAACTATTGGACAGTATTGATCGACTGGACTGATTTTTTCCAAACAATACTGCATGCCAGACTCAAACTGAACTTTACTTACATTGTATCTTGGTTTAAATAATGATATACTGGTGTTAAGTATTGCATCACATTGCCATAAATTGTTTGTGTCTTTATATGCCCATTGTTTAAAAGGTAATATATAGTACCAATATTATCTCACCTGTATACTTACCATTAAAGTGGATTCCCCACAGGCACAGCCCGTCCCTTGTTAACCATGGCCACAAAATTCCCCGAAATGCAGTGGGATGCCAGTGATCTGGCAGAAGAATTTAAGATTTTCCGACAGAGAATTGAATTATGTCTTGCTGACCAAGATATCACAGACCAAGCCAAACAAGCAGTCAAAATCAAGATAGCCGTCGGAAAAGAGGGTCTAAGGAAAATCAATGCCTCCAGCCTGACTGAAGATGAGCAGCGCGACCCATCCAAGCTGTGGGATTTGTTTGAAAAACAACTCAAGGTGAAGCTAAACTTCAGGATCCACCGCTTGGAACTGATGCGTTACCGACAAAAGCCCAAAGAACACCTCGATGAGTTCGTCAACAGGTGCCGAGCGAAGGCTGTTGAATGTCAATTTACTGTGGAGGAACTCACTGAACGAGTAGTTGAACTCGTGATAGCCTCTACACCCTCCGAGTCCTTCCAAAAGGATCTGCTTGACAGACCCATTGGCTACAGCATTGACGAGATGCTCATCGAAGGGCGGAAGTATGAAGCCATCGTTGCCGGCAAGCAAAGTTTACAGTCCATGGAGACCGGTGGGGCGTCAGTGAACGCCGTATGGTCCAAGAGTCGAGCTTGTCGAAACTGTGGGTTATCACACCCACCTAGACGGTGCCCAGCATACCATGATACCTGCAAGGCTTGTGGAGCGAAAGGGCACTGGTCCAAGTGTTGCAGAAAGACGAGAGCTAAAAGCAGACAACGCAGAGGATCCAAGTCACCACGGAGAAGACGCAGTCCCTCCGGGGAGAGGCGACGCAGTCCCTCCAGGGATAGAAGGCCCCAACAACGAAAGCCCAAGGGCCGAAAAAAGGATGAATCATCGACACCAAACACTACTGAGCAGGAGACAGATGTCCATCAATTAGAATACACGGACAATGCGTACGAGGAAGTGTTCCACGTTGTCACTGTCCCAGACTTCCACAAGAAGAACGATAACACGGGTAACGAAGCCTACAGGATGCTTGATGTGGTTTGCCCTGACCTTGAAGGCAAGCACCGCCTTAAAGTCAAGATAGATACCGGAGCTGGAGGTAACACACTTCCACTCAGAACCATACGACAGATGTATGGAGACACTTGGAGATCCCAAGTCAAACCGGTGACAACCAAGTTAACCGCATATAATGGAACACCGATACCCTGTCTGGGCAGCATCGATTTGCTCTGCAGATACCAAGATCCTACATGGTCAGAGAACAGATTCTACGTCGTCGACGTCACAGGCCCAGTGATTGCAGGTCTGCCCATGTGCCGTGACATGGGAGTCGTGACGATACATGCTGCCAGACTGACGTCAGTACAATCAATTGAGCAGCTGATGGAGGCGTATCCAGATCAGTTTGACACCATTGGAAGTTTCAAACGAAGGGCGACATTGTACCTCAAAGAAGATGCGGTACCCCATATTGACCCACCCAGAAAATACAGTGTGCACCTCAAACCAAAGTTGAAAGTGGAAATTGACAAGATGGAGGCGCTGGGGGTAATCAGGAGAGTGGCGCATCACACAGACTGGTGCAGTTCAATCACCACGAGCCTCAAGCAAGATGGTTCCATTCGTGTGTGCCTTGACCCCAAGCGTCTCAACCAAAGCCTGCGCAGGTGCCCCCACAAAATCCCTACGCTAGAGGAACTCAACCCAGAGTTTTCCCAAGCCAGAGTCTTCTCTAAACTTGATGCAAAGGCCGGTTACTGGGCCGTTCACCTTGACGAGAAGTCCCAGGAGCTCACCACCTTCCGGACGCCATTCGGACGGTATTGCTTCCAGCGTCTGCCATTTGGCCTCGCCATTAGCCAGGATATATTCCAGCAATGCATGGACGAGATAGTTGACCAAGTTCCCGGATGTGTCTGTATAGCTGACGACATAGTCGTTTACGGCCGTACTGACGAGGAACACGACGCCAACCTTAGGAACCTGTTCGAGGTTGCCGGACGTGAGGGTCTTGTATTCAACAGCACCAAATGCAGGATTAAGACAAAGAAGATCAGTTTCTTTGGGTCCATATACTCTGACGTCGGGGTACAGCCAGACCCAGGGCGGGTTGAGGACATACACAACCTCCCCACCCCCCAGGACAAGGAAGACCTCCAAAAATTCCTTGGTCTCATCACATATGTGTCTGCGTACATTCCCAACCTCGCAGACAAGGCAGCGATCCTCCGAGATCTTCTCAAGAAAAACATCCCTTTTGTGTGGCAGGAGGACCACCAAGCAGCGTTTGAGGCACTGAAGCTGTCGATCACAGCGGACGCATGCCTTCAGTACTACAACCCTGAGATGCCAACGGTACTTGAGGTTGACGCTTCACAGAAAGGGCTGGGAGCGTGCCTCACTCAACAAGGCAAGCCTATTGCCTTTGCATCCAAAAGTCTCTCACCGGCGCAGAAAAATTACTCCAATATAGAGAGGGAAACGCTGGCACTGGTGTTTGGCATAGCCCGTTTCCACAACTACCTCTTCGGGAAGGAGTTTGTGGTATACTCAGATCACAAGCCGCTAGAAATGATCTGGAGGAAGCCCCTATCTAGTGCACCACCAAGGTTACAACGCCTACTTATCAAAGTGCAAGGCTATAACTTCACCGTGCACTACAAGCCAGGGCCGACAATGATCTTGTCCGACGCCTTGAGCAGACTGCCAAACCCGAAGAAGAACGAAGACATACACCTTGACCGACTGGTCGGTGGCATAGATGTCATTGAAGGACCAGAGCTCAAGCACATCGATCTCCTTCACTTTGGCCAGACTAAGCAGACCCAACTGCAGGTGCAGACCGCGCGTGACCCAACCCTGAGTTCCCTAACCCAAGTTATCTACGCCGGCTGGCCTGATGAAATCAAGGAGCTACCCAGAGATCTAAGGCCATACTGGCCCTACAGAGATGAACTGGGAATATCCTGGGGTGTCATCTTCAAAGGGAAACAAGTAGTAATCCCTGATGATCTACGACAAGACATCCTGGCCCAGCTCCACACAGGACACATGGGAATCGAGAAAACACGACGTTTGGCTCGAGAAACCGTGTACTGGCCAAACATCAGCCGTGACATCGACATTGCTGTAAGGGCATGTGAATACTGCCAAGAAAACCAACCAAAGCAGAAGAAGGAACCCCTCCATCCCCATGAGATCCCATCCACCCCATGGACCAAGATAGGCACTGACCTGTTTGAAATAGGTGGCGATGACTTTCTTCTGATCATCGACTATACCTCGAAGTTCCCAGTCGTCCACAGGCTGCGAGATACCAAGAGCGCAACGGTAGCTGGTGTGACATCCCGCACACTTGGCATGTTCGGAGCGCCAGCAGAAATAATATCGGACAATGGCCCACAGTTCGTTGGAGCGCCGTACCAGGACATGTGTGCTTCGTGGGGCATAAGTCACATCACATCTTCACCTCGATACCCACAATCCAACGGTTTCGTGGAACGTGCAGTGCGGACGGTCAAGACACTCATAAAGAGATGCCAAAAGTCGAAGCAGAATGTTGATAAAGCACTTCTGAACTTGCGAGCTATTCCCATTGACTCCAAACTGCCGTCTCCTGCCGAGATTCTGTTTGGCAGGCCACCTTGCACAAGCTTGCCAAGCCGCCGCCCATACACTGAGGCACGACACGAGGAAATGAAGGATGCCCACGACAAGAGGCGTGACCGAATGAAAGCAGATTACGACAGGAGATACTCAGCCAATGAGCTCCCACCTCTCCATGTTGGGCAGAAGGTCCGGATTCTTGATCAGGATTCTCGGGCTTGGCTGCCAGGCGAGGTGACAACCGTGTGTAGAGAGCCGAGGTCGTATAAAGTCGCCACCCCTAACGGTAGCATATTGAGACGTACTCGATCCCACCTCAGAGAGATGACAGATTCACGACACTCTATCACTCCCAAGCGTGTCAGATTTGCAGACACTGAGAAAACCAAAGACCTCAGTAAGCAGCACAAACTCCCAAATCATAGCGACAACGCAGCTAGGGCAACCGGAGATACTCCACAGACCACAAGGTCAGGCCGAGTAATTCGCAGACCAGTGCGATACATCCAGCAATAAGGCCATCTTACCCAATATACCCCAAGCCCATGACAATATCATACTTGCAGAGTGTTCATTGTTTAAACGTTTTTCAAGTTGTTTTATCTAAACTTTTGATTACTTAAACGACTGAGGGTAGTTAACCTCAAGAATTTGATGAGGATGAAAGTTTGACTAGCATGTAACCCTTCGATATAACGTTAAATCATAGACCTGTTACTTGGAGTTACAGTTGAAGAGTTTTAACAGTTACATGTTAAGAGTTTTTGATGTTTAGAGCCGTTTTTCGAAGTTCAAGTTCCAGCCCACCAGAAACATGTGAAGACATTAGAAATTAGAGACGCAACACAATTATTTGTTATTTACCCATCATTTTTATTCAGTAACTTACCACATTACCACATTAACTTTTAACCTGTGCGGAAAGTTGTCTGGTAAATGTTAGAATCCAACATTGTACTTTCAAAGGGGGGAGGATGTTGTAATATTAATGTGGAACTACATATTCATATTGTGCGCACAGCGCATGAACACAGTGTGTGTAATGTGGCTATACTCTTGTTGCATCATGGCGGAATAAACGCACTACGTCCAAGTGCCTGGGAACCTGAACAAACCTTGTCATGCTATCACTACAGATAGCTTTGCAGATGATGAGAATGACCTTATAATGGATGCGAGACTGTACTGGCAACCAGTGCAGAGATTTCAGCACAGGTGTTATACAGCGTGTCCCAAAAAAATGTCCCTCTGATAGACTGTTCAATTAATTCCAAAATCAAGTATTTTTCTCAATTTAGTGTTCAGATTTAGAAAGCCCATTTAATTTTGTTACTTCTGTGAAAATTTCATTGGTCTCGCTTCATTGGTTTTGAATACACAGTCTATTATGTAACAGCAGTGCTTTTCAGCCCATTCCAAGTTTGCTGTGCTACATTTTCTGCACATTGAAGGACAAACCATCAGTGGAACACACCCTGTGAAAGCAAACACGACCAGTGGAACTGAACTTTGATTAGTTTTCATTTTAAAAAAGTAAATGAACTTGACTTTAGTTACTTAGGCTAATAACAAAAACAAGAACACAGTTGTTGAAATAAAAGTGAAGCATGGAATAAGGTATGGTATGTCTGTAGTGTGCATTTCTTTTTATCAAACTTGGAATGGGCCGGAAAGCACTGTTGTTACATAAGAGCCTGCGTATTCAAAACCAATGAAGCGAGACCTTCGAAATTTTCACAGGAACTACTAAATTAAGTGGGCTTTCTAAATATGTAATTGAGTATAAAACTTGATTTTGGTAATTATTCTGTGGTCTATGAGAGGGAAATTTTTTTGGGGACACGCTGTATGTTCACTCTTCTTAGCTGTCGATACCAAGCGAGCGGCAGAGTTCTGGATCCTCTGCAGTTTAGAGATTTCTTAAATTTTTCAATTTAAGGTCTTTGTTTTCAAGACATTTCTTCAATTTTCAATGTAAGGTCCACTTGTCTTTTCTATTTGGTACTAGCGTTCGAGTGGACAGGTTGGTGAAGTACACACGAAGTACATGTGTTCTTTCCTTGACTGTTTCACTGCAGTTCCAGCTTTGAATCCCACCTGGCCAATAGACTGTATGCATTGCAGATGTCTCATATGATTTCTTTGTCATTTAAATTTTGTAACAAAGAATGAACAGAATGTTTTAATCAATAATAAAAAAAATTGCATTCTAAATCTTAATTTAACACATAAGGCCTACACTTTATACCACAAAAACTGTCATTTCGAATCATTGGCAATTATTCTCTTAGAGGAAGTTCTTGGTTTACATCTTTAAATGAACTGCTTTCCTTCAAATTTGCCTGTCATCAAGAAATTCTATATATTTTTTCTCTGAATGACAGAAGCTGAATCTTTTAGTTTAACAAAAAACAGTACTCTTTTCTACTTTGGTGAGTGCAAAGTACCCTCTTACAAAAAAAGGAAAAGGGCTTTTATTCTGGCTTAGGCCGTGTCCGAAACGGGCTTCCAGAGCTACGGCTACGTCTATTGTCAGCGCGTCCTTGCGTATTTTCAATGGGCGCAGACCTAGACCTAGGTCTAGACAGTTGATTCGGATGCAGCCTTTAGTTCAGTACTTATATACCGATGTCGATCCTGTGAGTGGACTGGTTCCCAGTCCCCACATTATTGATCCTGATAATGGAGAGGGGGACCAGTCTACCCACCACAAACATAATTATTGTTGGCAAACAAATTATTTGAAATGTGTAAAGTGATTATTCCACAAGTTAAGGTTGGTTGATTTAACAATGAATGGTTAGATATCTCATTCAGAAGTGAATAACTTTTGTATTGCTCGAAAAACAGCAAAAATGAAACACTAATCTACTTCTTCAATTTCCTAGATCCCGACACTCTTGGGGTGACCACAGCTTCTCTCATGCAGACTTCACTCTCTGACACAGTCTACCCCTCTCTATCCATCAAGCTCCCTCTTCGATCTCCTTCAAACAAGAACTCGAAACCTACCTGTTCAAACTCTAATCTCTTCTTCGGCTTGTACCTTGCAATTCATATGTCTTGGACCTACATGTAGCATTTACAATTTTTTTGTTTTTTGTAGTTTGTCATTTCTAATTTGTCATTTATAAATTTTGTAGTTTGTACTTACTCTTTGTATAGCGCCATGAGTGTCACTGAGTGATGGACCTGTTGCGCTTAATAAGATGCCACTATTATTATTAGTATTACTACTTTTTGGGGTGAACCTTGAAAACAGCTTGGAAGCGCGATCTGAAATTGGTACTTACCTTCATCGGGAGGCAAAACCATCATATCAGGGGGAGGGGGAGGTGGATTCACCATCCTAGGAGTCACATCCTTCTCTTGTTTCTTCTTCTCATCATCTGCCACTTTGGTTGCCAGTAGAGCAGGTGGTGGAGGTGCCATTGGTGGGGGAGCCATAGCAGGTGGAAGAGAGGAGTCTGGAGCGGGGGGCATAGGGTGAGGGGGAGGCGGCATATCAGGGTCAGGGGGAGGAGGAGGGGGAGGGGAGGGATGTCCCCCTACTGGCACTGATTTTTGCGATCGATACTGCCTCACCGACTTAGGGGAGCCTTGCGGGGTGCCTGTCTTACGGACCGTCGCGTACAGATCGACTTCGAGGGGGGAATTGGGCGGCCGTTCATCGGGATTGAAAACTGGGAAGTTGTCCGGTACCGGGCCGGGGCTCGGGAGGCTTTGGGACTCCTTGCGCTTCCTGAAAGTGTCGGCCTTGGCCGGATCGCTGATCTTCATGCCGTGCCCGATGTCATCCAGCAGGCCGTAGTCAATGGGTGCCGATTTGTACTTGATGGGTTGCTCGGGGTTGGCTGGCGCGACGATCTTGTGGGTGTGGGGGCAATGCTTGTTGGCGGTTAGGACCCCGATCTCCCGACGAGAAACCTTCTCCTTGTGAACACTCACATTCTGGAAACAAATAGAAAGAAGTCACATTTTTGTCTTGGGATTATGAAGAGAAGTTCCTCCCTAAACTTTGTTTGTAAAGGCTTCGTGTGAATATCCACTTTTCAGCATGCTAGCATCCCTCATGCCCATCCACGATAAGATCCACTTGAAGTGTTTTTTTTTGGGGGGGGGGCAAACGATTTAAGCTCTCCTTAAAAAAAATGTGAAGAATGGATTTCATCTTCCTAATAACACAACAAAAAATAATATGTCAATGAAAAATTTGGTATCCAAAAATGTCATGTGTCATTGTGTAAACTCTACAGAGAGATTGAAATACATTGTTGCCTATAGATACCAAAACGTCTTGAATGTATTGGGAATAAGCACTTCTAACTTACAATTTAAAACTAACTTTTATATTCAATGCACATTGTAATTTGAAGAAATAAAAAGGGGTCATGCTTTTCAATATTATACAGGTAATTTGATTCAAATTCAAAATTCTATGTGCATTTTTTATTAGTTGGGATCTTCCGTAACAAGCTTTGGAATTTTGTGCGTTGGAATTTTGTGTGTGAATTGGCCTTGATGCACTTGGGTCCGGCAGGCCAGTTGTATTGCCATTTCACGTTCGATTGACCATAATTTTCAATATCTAGAAATACTTTTCTTTGTGTTACCGGTAGATTGAATCAAAAAGTCAAATAAGCCAAATCAGTGTGTAAAAAAAAAAAAAAATGTGGCTCCATGAAAGCTGATATTTATCTCCTGTTTCCTTAAAGCTATAGTCCATCATTTGCAGCCATCCGAAAAGTAACTGGCGTAACCATTGTTGAAAAACATACTTGATTGAAAGATAGTAAGGGGACTAAACTCCCTGTGAAATTATTCTTTCTGGCAAGCTGTCATTTTGAAGTAATCAACAAAAAAAGGCCTTTCCAACGGTGCGTCTTAAGACGCACCCTAGGAAAAATTAAATTAATAGTTTGTTTTGTTATTCGGCAAAGCGCGCGCAAGCATTGGCTATAATTCGTCGGATGAGCACGCGACATCCCGTATAGCTGCAATCAGCCCAGTGAGAACGCGTCTCGGACGCTAAATTCAGGTCCAATTCAAAACATGATTCAGCAACATTTGATTTGAAATTGAGATCCTAGAATGCTGTTTTTTCTCGGAATATACAGCTGAAGCTGAGCTGAAACTTCATCAGGTTAGTTGTTCAGTATCCTTCATTAGATTTTGAACACTTTTGTTGCTTCAAACGAACACAATGCACAAATTACAAAGGATGGACTATATCTTTAAATGCAGTTCCATCAATGTCAAAGGTTACTCCACAGCTACTGCTGCCTATGCCGGTACCCATTTGTACTCCTTCTGTTCCAATTTTTTTAGACCATTGTATTGTAAATGCATGAATTAAAAAATTAATCAAAAGGAGGAGGGCAAAATATCATTACCGGGCGGGGATTTTTAAACTTTCTTTAATTTTTTTTTTACATACCCTGGCAAGATGATTGGTGCTTGATTCCATGTCAGCCAGTTGTACTCCTTGTAAGTCCAGCATCTGTAGCATGCTGGTAGCCAAGGTGTTGATCTGATAGGCCACGCTGGCCAGCGACTGGGTAGCATACTGCTTGGTCTCTGCCAAGGCAGCCGTCTTATTTTCAGCCTGAAAATGAAACAAGAAAAGTGAATCCAAAAGTAATTTGTAACAAAATGCTAACAACATTTTTGAAAGAGTTCCATTCAAGGACAACACTTGACACCCTGTGCACAAACCCTACGAGACTGGTCTGAAAAATTCAAAGTGTTTTCTTATTAAATTATATATTCAACATTTTCCTTGCTATAAATTGGACTTGTCAGGACATTTTGATCATTTTCTGATGGCTGATAGGTCACTGCAGGAAAAAAAACTAGTGATGTCCATGTGTGTAATTCTTTCCAAAATGTTCATTACAGGGCGAGTCAAAAAAGCGGAACCCACACCCAAAAAATTACATTTCATATTTAAAATAATATGTAGCACCAACAATAATAATGACTGGAAAGCCAATCTCATAGGCTACTTTTGGATGAAAAAATTACTGAAATTGGTCAATCCGTTCAAAAGATATCACCATTTAAACACAATGACCCTATCAAAAACCTGTCTCGTCTCAAAAATGTGATTTCAACAATCGTCGACACAATTGTCTTCAAACATCACCAGCGATGAAATCGTAGTTTAAACGTTAACAATATGCAACGAAGTCCTTTTGAAGGCCTGTCTTTTAAAAAAGTAGATTTTATAAATCATACTGTTTGCCTAACCAGGGTTGTTAATCAAAGAAATTGTGTGCTTACAGTTGTTAAAACAAGTATTCTGTGTCATTTTCTTTGTCGTTCCAAACAGTCAAAACGCACAATAAATTGATTTTTTTGGACGAGACAGATTTTAGGGTCATTGCGTTTAAATGGTGGTATTCTTTGAATGGATTGAGCAATTTCAGTAATTTTTTCATCAAAAAATAGCTTTTGAAATTGGCTTTCCATTCATTATTATTTTTGGTGCTTCATATATTTTTAAATATGAAATACATTTTTGGGGGTTTGGGTTCCACTTTTTTTGACTCACCCTGTATTTGCTTCTGAACAAGACATCAGCTGTAAATTACAAGTTTGTCTTTTTATAGATAGAAACTTTTTGGGGGCAATCATCTATTAGTGTTCTGTATGGACTAGAGGCCTTCCTTCAATGGCCAAAGCATTGTGCCAGTTGTTGTTCAGACATATTCTGTTACAGGGCAACTGGTTACACTATTGAGGAGTGCCTTATGTACAGTGCCTTATGAACAGCGATTGTGTAACAGTCTCGATGTCACCTCAGGTTCGAATGCAAACAGGAGAGAGCAGTAAGAACAGACATCAAATACAAATCAACAAGTAATCACATTTAATTCACACAAATGATCAACTCATTTCTTAATCATGCTGTTGGACTCTGAAATAGTTACAGCGTTAAAAAACATAATAGTATTTTCCTATTTTCCTAAAATCTACATACTTTTGTACATGTATCTCATACACAGAACATTTTATGCCTGAAACTAAATTAATAATTTAAATGGTTGTATCAGTGGCTATGAAACAAAGGCCTGGAATTTGATTGAAACCTGAGCACATTTTTTATTGCACTTGCTCTGCTTGAAAATAGCCAACATGGCCAAGTCCACCCCTGTGTATAATTGTTTGGGGTCTGGAACAGCCATCTTTCTTTTTCAATCTGATTCAAATTAACCTCTTCTCATCAAGTTACAATGACTATCGAAAAGATTCTTTCCTTTTTTTTCATTATGTAATTATAAAGGTATAAAAAAAGTCCTTAAAAAATCATGTTTTGTCCTTTCTTTATAGCAAAAAGTAATGAAAAAGCATTGCAAGCTACCAAAACAAAAATGACTCTGAAACTGGGTAATCTTTATCTTTAGGACACCTCTATTTTTACGAGTTCTGTTCAAAACTGACTTTTGCAAATGACTGTACAATACCAAAGTGACTTTTGCAGGCTCAAGCTACATGCTCATATTCATCTACATGTGAATGAATATGAGCATGTCAGCTGGGGTTACTCAAGCTAGCTCAAGCAGTCTTTTTTCTTCAGATACACTCATCATGTCATTTTGAAAGCACTTTCAAAGAAAATGCGACTTTCCTACTGTTTTTTGCAGTTCACCATCTTGCTGTTTTAGTCTGTCATCGTCGTCTTTTACCCCTCAGAGCCCTGCCCTCTTTCCACAAAATTAAACCTGCTGATATTCAAGAAGGTGTCATTGCCAACTGTTCAGATGTGGCAAGAAATACCAGAATCATGGAATGTCACTTAATTGAGTGTCATTTGATCTCTGTTTTGGTGAGTTTTTTAACCTTATAAAGTTATATAGGAACGGGGTCCTAATAAAGGTAAGGATTACCTGAAACTGAAATTGCATGTACAAAATGTATAATGTACTACGAAAGCCCTGTAGTGCCATCAAGTATATATTTTGTCCAAGTTCGTTTTTACGAGATATATTTTTCCCAAAGTTCGTTTTTATGAGATACATTTTGTCCAAGTTCGTTTTTATGAGATATATTTTTCCCAAAGTTCGTTTTTATGAGATACATTTTGTCGAAGTTCGTTTTTATGAGATATATTTTGTCGAAGTTCGTTTTTATGAGATACATTTTGTCGAAGTTTGTTTTTATGAGATATATTTTCTCGAAGTTCGTTTTTATGAGTTACATTTTGTCGAAGTTCGTTTTTACGAGATATATTTTGTCGAAGTTCGTTTTTATGAGATACATTTTGTCCAAGTTCGTTTTATGAGATATATTTTTCCCAAAGTTCGTTTTTATGAGATACATTTTGTCGAAGTTCGTTTTTATGAGATATATTTTGTCGAAGTTCGTTTTTATGAGATACATTTTGTCGAAGTTCGTTTTTATGAGATACATTTTCTCGAAGTTCGTTTTTACGAGATACATTTTGTCGAAGTTCGTTTTTACGAGATATATTTTGTCGAAGTTCATTTTTACGAGATATATTTTTCCCAAGTTCGTTTTTAAGAGATAATTTTTTTTCGGGCGACACAGGATATCTTACGGAGCCCCTAAAGGGACATCCAAATTTTTTTTTTATCTCGTGCGCATGACATATATCTTGTGCGCACGAGATATTATGTCGTGTGCACAAGATAACTATGTCGTGCGCACGAGATATAAGTCGTGCGCACGAGATATAAGTCGTGCGCACGAGATATTAAGTCGTGCGCACCAGATATTATGTCGTGCGCACGAGATAAAAAAATAATTTTAGATGTCCCTTTAGGGGCTCCGTACCTGACACGCTGCTTTCGTTACACACAAACTTGTCCGCTGCATGTGCAGCAAGCTCCGATAATACTTATAATTATCTCGTGCGCACGAGATAGTTATCTCGTGTGCACGAGATATATGTCGTGCGCACGAGATATATGTCGTGCGCACGTGATAATTATCTCGTGCGCACGAGATATGATGTCGTGCGCACGAGATAAAAAAATAATTTTGGATGTCCCTTTAGGGGCTCCGTAACTTCGAGAAAATATATCTCATAAAAACGAACTTCGACAAAATGTATCTCATAAAAACGAACTTCGACAAAATATATCTCATAAAAACGAACTTCGACAAAATGTATCTCGTAAAAACGAACTTTGGGAAAAATGTATCTCATAAAAAGAACTTCGAGAAAATATATCTCATAAAAACGAACTTCGACAAAATGTATCTCATAAAAACGAACTTCGAGAAAATATATCTCATAAAAACGAACTTCGACGAAATGTATCTCATAAAAACGAACTTCGAGAAAATATATCTCATAAAAACGAACTTCGACAAAATGTATCTCGTAAAAACGAACTTTCAGACTTTGGGAAAAATGTATCTCATAAAAACGAACTTGGACAAAATATATCTCGTAAAAACGAACTTTGGGGAAAATGTATCTCATAAAAACGAACTTCGACAAAATGTATCTCGTAAAAACGAACTTTGGGAAAAATGTATCTCATAAAAACGAACTTGGACAAAATAAATACTTGATGGCACTACAGGGCTTTCGTAATGTACTGTACTACTGTAATCAGATAATGTAGGCCCTACCTGCAGATAATTTTCTTCGCAAAAGGATGCCACTTTCAGCAGACTGGTATGACTTTCCTGCAACTGGCTTCGTCCTGCCGGAATCTCGGTTTCAAAGAGTTCTGCTAACTTGGCCATGATTTTCTGACAATTCCCAGGAAATGAATTCCGTTATGGAATTCTACCCATATATGATATGACTTGCTGTCTATTGGGTTGTTTCCGGGTACGGTGTACAACCCGCACAGTTCATGTTCCAAGGTACTTCCGGGTTGAATGACACCTCACGTACGATACGATTACGAGTCTCAAACACCTGTAGGGCCTACATGCTCAACTTGTCTGACGTCTGAGGGCGGGCTGCCAATATACCGGGTGGTCAGGTAAATACTGCCCGTGCTCAACAATTCGATTTATTTTTCTGTTAACGATTTTTCAATTTCTTTGTTTTATTTTAACGAAAAGCCATCTTATTTTTCTTCCCTTTTTTGGGCGTCTGCAACCATTTGAAAAAAGGACTTTTCTTTTGGGTTTCGTACTTTCATTTTCGCCTCTTATTTTTATGAGATTAGCCACTTAAATAAATCGAAATTTGTGATACATGTATTAATTCCATAACGGCACGTGGGCTGATTGTTTTCTTTAATGGCTCATTCAAATTGATATTTTTTGCAATGCTGAAAAAGAAGCAATTAGTAAATTACCCCAAAAATATATCTTTGAAGGATGAAACTCGAGAAAGCACGGATAGGACAAAACAACACCTTAAAATGGAACCTCACAAATATCGTACTCCTTTTGTGGCAGCAATGTCGAGAGAGTGCGCATCTTTCTCCGCTGATAATATATCGATCCACCAGCAAAAAAGTAATAAGGCAGACTCTTTGGCTGGCAAATTTCTTGGCATTTTGGCCAGTTTCTCTAATGCCCAAAAAAAAAAGTCTCCGGTCGCCGTAGCCATGCGCGTCGGCAAAATGAAAAAGTTTTTTTTTTTAATGAAAGATGATGTCCCAAAACCGCCAAACTCACTGGTTTGACTGGAATACTGCTGCTGCACAATTTCAACGTGTTTTTAGATGGGGTTATGATCGAGAATAAGCTTTATGTGGCCTCTCTGGACCCCCATATATTTGCACTAAGTTTAGTCGGACACCCTTTGCAGTCATCAGCACACATTTGAAGCAAAAAAGTCAGGTAAAAAAAAAAAAAGCCGCGTCGCCGCATCACTTTTTGGGCAAGCTCCATACCAGAAACCGGAGACTTTTTTTTTGGCCTAAACGCTGTGATATTTATCGCACTGACAATGAGTGTGTTATTCATAAGAATCGATGATTTAAAAAAAATAAGAACACTTCCGCGTGCAAATGTATTTTTTAACTTCGGCATACCGGATCTCTCCCGACAGGATGTTTAACACCACTGATGTAAAGTAAGCAGGAAAAACTAAACGAGAGAAGAGAGAAAGAAGAAAGGATTGATGATAGCAGTGAACAATCCTTGGCCATTTGGAAACCTCGGCATCATTTCGACTTCACGGCTCCAGTGTTCAGACACTGTAGAGTCCAACTCAATAGTGTCAATTTTCTGCTACTTACAATGTAATGATTTTTACACTCATTACGTAAAAGAAATTCGGCAGCACTTTGTAAGCATTGTCGGGAAAAAGTTGAAGTGCTAACATCTGAATATGAACCCAAAGTATATAAATCTAAACTTTGGGGTGATTTTCGTTTAGTTGAACATAATTTTTCAATATATGAACGGACAAAATGACGGAAACAAAGTTGTGATTTGAGAAAATGTACGCAGGATGGAGCGCCATGATCTACATGGAAGGCACTATAGAAATCCTGTTTATTATTATAAAGGACATGCAAACGGGACCAGGCTCTGTAGAAGGCCAAAAAAAAAAATAAGTCGGTCTCTGGTCAGCGCGCTCGTCGATTTTAATCATGCGCGTCGATCTTTTTTTTTTCCAAAATGTTCCGCGGTAGCTCCAACAGCGCCCTCTACTTCCGCACCTCCTCAATTTTTTTTACCAAAGAGCACCAAGGAATGGGAAATTGCACCAAGGCAAATGATCGAAAGCACCAAGGCAAATTATGGAGGACACCAATGTACATGAGGACACCAAAAAAGCAAAATAGTACCCACCTTGTCTGTACAATCCAAGCTTGAAGAAAAAAAAAAAAAGCCGCGTGGCCCCGTCAATTCCGGAACTTTGGTCTGACCAGAGACCGAATAATTTTTTTTTTGGGCCTAAGCTTAGGCTTTTTTCCTGGTTCCCCCATCTGTCACCATTTGTTTAAATTGATCAAAGTGTTGTACATGTATAGCATTCTATTATAAGTTTAGTTATTGTTGTAGAAAATAAACTGTTGCATTTTGCATAATATTAATTTGTGACAAATGGAAATAAAACAATACAAATACAAAATACAAATACAAGTGGTTTGAAGGGGGCAGGAACATACCCAAGCCACCTATTTTGCCCCTTTAGCCTTTACACAATAAAAACAAACCAGTTCAAAGACGGAGGTCGGGTAACTGCTAGTTGATTTATTGACCATTATTATATGATTCCAGAAAACAAAGCTGGAATCCAGACTAGCTGTTGTACAAAACGGTATGTAGCATCATTATGGATGCATACACACATACATAGCAACATTGATCTGCATAAAGAAGGGTTAAATATTATACATCTATCCAAATCCATAAAGAAATGGAACAGCAGTTTCCACAACAGTTTCATTCCAACTTTCATGGTCCTTCTGTGATTTCAAAATTTGGTCAAACTGTTGGACACATACTTGTGTGAACTGAAATACAGGGAGAGTAAAACAAAAACAAAAACCTTATGTAGGGACCATTTTTTTTAGTGAAGTTCTGCATGCAGCATTTACAATCTAGGATATGAAAGCCCAATTAATAAGCTTTCTTTTAGTACAAGAATCATTCAAATCACTCGTGTACTTCTCAAGTTACAGAATTTTAAACACAAACACCGTTTTAAACTTCTGTCCACCGATCACAAAAAGGGCAAGTGTTCTTTCAGCAAAATGAAAACAATTCACATACAACCCTAATGTGAATTGTTTTCGTTTTGCTGAAAGAACACTTAGTTTTTTTTTGTGATCCGTGGACTGAACTTCAAAACGGTGTTTGTGTTTAAAATTCCATAACTTGAAAAGTGCATGAATGATTCTTGTACTAAAAGAAAGCTTATGAATTGGGCTTTCATATCCTAGATTTGGAAAGTGCTACATGCAGAACTTCACTAAAAAAAAAAAGGTCCCGAAATTTGGGTTAAGTTTTTTTTACTCACCCTGTAGAACACAACATGTGAGCATTAGTGTACACACTGATCTAGGTCACACAAGAGAGGGGTCATTCTATAAATTTGGGGTCCACTTTTTTGCCTTTCCCTGTTACATCTGACATCTATGATTTTATAATTCTGATGAATTCCTTAAAGCAGTCGTACTCCAGCAGTGATTATGAATAGCAGACTACCAACCCAACAAATAGAAAAAGTCCATATTTATTCTTGAATCTACCAAGGTAAACAGGGACAGGGGAATATCACACTTTCCACCTTAACTTTATAGAATGACCTGTATTGCTGTGAATGCCTTGAAATTCACGTTTTCATTCAAAATCAGAAGGGTGGATATGAATTGATACTTGGGCTTCGTGTATATTTTGCATGCACTCTGTACTTGTATTAATTCATAACATATTACAATACAGTATGGTTAGATTATTTAATAAATAAAAAAAGTCAACTTTTTGGGAAGGAAAAGGACATGAAATATCTGGTTTGACAACATGCAATAAAATGTAATCATTTGGCAAAACCTAAAAAAAAAATGCGACCAACATATATTACAATGTACACGTACAAGCCAGATCAAAGTACACCAAAATTACCTTGGATCAGTGGAACAGCGTTAGCGATTTTTTTTTTTTTGCAGTATTTTTGGACATCTATTCCCATTCCTGCAAATTCACGGACTTGGTCAAGTCCTTGATGTACATGTACATGCACACTAGAGGCAGTTAAGATAAACCCTGTACACCAGTATACAGCGTCTAACTTGCTTGTCCAAAGGGCCTTTTCACAGTATTCAAAATCTTTTTTATAGTCCTGCGTCAAAACCAGAGATTACCGAAACCACTTTCACACTATCAACAATCCAACACCGTTTCTACCATGGGTCCAGCGATCTACGGGGGCAAACTTCAACCCTGCCCTGGATGCGAATTATTTTTTCCCAAACAACATCTTCATTACATGGTTGTTGAGCGCCCTCTATGATACTTTATGATACGTACTTGTGGAGCATTTGGATAGTTTAGTTGATTGGGTCGTGATTTTGTACCGCGAGGGATACTCGCGGTTGGGGTTTGAATCACCGTTTTTACCCATTTTTTTTTGTTCTTTTCTAATCTGAGGCTTTTGAGGATTTTTTTCAAAAAGGAAATAAAGTCAGAATTTCATTACGTTTGAATTCATTTTTTTAAATTTTATATGTTATTTTCATATTTTTTAAGAGAAGTAAAAATGTCATAGTACACCGTCACGCCCTGGACCAGGGTGGGGAGGATCTCCGTGGGTAAAAACTTCCAAATCTACAGCCGACCCATATACAACCCGGTATATAAACAGGGATGCAAGTGGACTCCAAAATCACACAGTGGAACCACGTGGAGAATTTTATCACCACATGTGTTTATAGGTCAATAACCCTGGCATGCCTGTACATGCATAAGATAAATCACACAGTGGAACCACGTGGAGAATTTTATCACCACATGTGTTTATAGGTCAATAACCCTGGCATGCCTGTACATGCATAAGATACAGGTCATTCATATGGCCAGGGATTGTTTACAACCTGTCTGAGCTCCTGGCGGCACGAGGGGTTGACACAAAGGGATCGGCGGCACTTAGGGGTTGGCCACTAAGATCTCCCTTACTGCACAAAGGCATTGGGCACCATCTTGGCTTCTGTCTTTCAACACTCCTTACTCCGGAGTGGGTAGGGTCTGGCCAATGGGAGTCTACAGGCTTGTGGTGTATAGTAGGGGTGAGGATTACATGGAAGCTTGGCCGTATTGGCCCATTGAAAAAAAAAATTATGCCCATATTTGGAAAATGTGGAGAATGAAATCACCACTTCGCTGCTCGGAGGGTTTTAAGGTGCCACTATTTTATCTAACAATTTGAAAACGCCTGAAATTAGGCCATTGCAGGGGGACTTACATGTACATCCCTGGTATACATGTAAGTGTGAAAGGTACTTCTTGCCCTCCTGCGTTC